TTCCTGTACATTGTGAATGGAAAGTGGTGTGTTATAATGGGAGTATTTTCTGCAACTTTCAAACATCCTTTTTTGATAAATGCATGTAACCAAGACTTGTAAGTGTTTAAAAAAGGGTAAAATATAAAAACCTCCCCTTACATGTACGTCTCCTGTAGTTTGAAAAAAAAACCTACACTCTTACAGTTACCTTTCAAAGTTATGAAATTGCCCTTGGAACTTATTAGGGCATCTTTCAATATAATTCAAACATTTACCCTTCTTGACTTCACTAGATTAATGTTTTTGGAGAGTAAAATTACTTTATTACTCTTTTCAATTTGATTTTGGTAATCTTTTATTTAAAAATTAAAAATTCTTTTAAGGTATTTTAGTAAATTTCCATCTGAATTGATAGATATAAGGGTAAAATGAGTACTTTTGAAAATTTAATGCATTCGTTGAATTGTTCAATTCAACGTATTACATTCACAATAGTAAAGTTCAAACTTCATAACTACATGGGAGGTTTTTGTGATAGTGAAACCTCAGGGGAGGTTTTTATATTTTACCCAACATTATAAAATTTAAACTAGTGGAGGGGCCCCTTTGTTGCAAGGGCTTTTTAAAGCTAAATTATTGTATAAGAAAAGATAAATTTGCAAAAGGTAAATTTTTTAATTAATAGGTTTTAGAAAAAGAATTTACTTAAAATAAGTAGAAATTTATGGAAAGTAATATATTTAATTTAATAAAATAAAATAATAAATAAATAAATAAAGATTTCAATTTTGAAGTCAATTTAATATAAAAAAAATCATCTTTATTGTTAAATAAAGAATACAAATATTTTTTTCTCAATTTCCTAGTTGGGCTTTGGGCTTCATATGGGGGTCGAGCTTGGGCTCAAGATCTAGGCCCAATGGTTCGGTCATGCTCAGGCTTGGGCATGAATATGTTCCATTGATATAAAGGCAAAGCTTAGCGTGGCCTATGAATAGGTTTAATCCCAACCTTGGGGTGGAGACAGTGAGACCCCTAAGGAGCCATGGCCCCCTTATGGCCCAACAAATTCCCACTCCCCCCTCTCCCCAATGGCCATCTATATTTATTCCCTGTACTCCTCAATCCACTTAGATTTTGGCACCCCTCAAAAAATTCCTAGTTGTGTTCCTGTCCAACCTATACCTAATCTATTGATAGCCCAAAATTACCCCCCCACCCCAAAATCCACTTAGATTTTAGCCCCCCTTATAAAAAATTCCTACCTTCACCCCTGCCCAACGCATACCTAACCTATTGATAGCCCTAAATTATTAACTAATTGAATAATTTAGTAAATTAAATAAATAGAAATATATGGATAATAATTTACTTAATTTTGTAAAATAAATAAATCAATTATTCATTATAATAAAATAAATAAGTAACTATTCATTTATTATTAGGACATGACTAGTCCAACTTATCTAGAACCAAACCCGGCCCATTGACAATCCTAAATATTGGGTGCATGTTGAATTAAATAAATAAAAATTATGAATAATAATATATTTAATTTAATAAAATAAAACAATAAATAAGTAATTAAAATTTTTATTTTTGAAGTCAATTTAATATAAATAAATCAATTTTGTTGTTAAATAAAGAATACAAATATTTTTTCTTAATTTTTTGGTCGAGCTTCGGGCTTTATATGAGGTCGTGCTTGGGCTCAAGATCTAGGTTCAATGGTCCGGTCATAGGGAACCTAGGGAAGCCATAGCCCCCCATTCCACTTACATTTTGCCCCCCCCCCCCCTAAATTTTGGGGCTCAAACCTACCTATTGATAGCCCTAAATATAGGACTACCAATGGGTCGGAATCAGTTGGAACCGACCAACATGAAATGTTGAGGATTCGGATTTGGACCCGAACCCGATAGGGTTTGTAATTTTTGGACTGAAACCAAACCGGTTAGTTCTTGAGACAATCTGGTTTGACCCGACAGACCCAATTGTAATAAATGAAAGATAAATATTTATGTATAATATATATTAAAAATTCTATATATCTATTGTATGTATAGTATGTATAGTATATATAATTTATTTATTTAATATATTATACATTATATATATATATTCTAAATCTATATTAATTGGGACCCTATATCAAGACCAAGAATCAACCTGTTAGTTCCAGTTCCTAGAACTAGAACCGGTCCAATCGATTTGGGTTCATTAGGTCGAAAACGGCCCATTGACAACCCTACCTAAATATTGGGCTCAAGGGGAGAGAATAATTTGTTAGTAAATTATTTCTAAATAAATAAATAATTTAGTAAAATAATAAATAAAAGTCTATTAAAATATTTCTCTCAATATCAAATCTCCTTTATTTTACTAATTTATAAATAATTTATTTACTTTTATTAACTAAATAAATGCTTAGATACTAATAATAAAATAAATAAAATAAATAAATAATTTAATATAATAAATAAATTAACTAAATAATAATTTAATAAAATAAATAAATAAATGACTATTAAAATCTCTCTCTCAATGTCAGATCTATTTTATTTTATTGATTTATAAATAATTTATTTCATTTTATTAAATAAGTAAATGCTTATGTAATAAAAAATAAATAATTTAGTACAATAAATAAATAAGCGTCTATTAAAATATTTCTCGCAATGTTAAATCTATTTTATTTTATTGATTTATAAATAATGCAATGTCAAATCTCTTTTATTTTATTGATTTATAAATAATTTATTTACTTTTATTGACTAAATAAATTCTTAGATTATAATAATAAAATAAATGGTAAGTTTCTTAAACAACCCTTATGTTTTAGCTAATTGACTAAATGTACCCTTATTGTTTGAAAATTGACTAATTCTACCCTTACTGTTTCTGACAATTGACTAATATTTCTCTTATTGTTAGCATCCGTTAACGAAAGACGAAAAAGACTTTTTTACCCTTTTTGCTTCTTTAAATTTTCAAAATAAAACAGGAAAAAAATGGGAAGTACAGCTCTAGTCTACATCCATCGTCTTCAATAGAGATGAACAGGGATGAACTGTAGAATTCCGCTACACACTACCAACAGGGTTTCATTGGTGAACAGAGATGAAGATGGAGGAAGGAGAAATAGAAGAAGAAGAGGGGAAAGAGCAACCCAGATTGAATCTTAGTGGAAGAATTAGCGGAACGTATAATCAAGAGCAACCCAAACTGACTTCGTTGAGGCATCTTAGGGGAGGTTTTAGACATCTCTAGCTCTGGTTCTCCCGAGGTCTCTCTATCTTTCTCGTTGGAAACAGCAGACTGACTTCATTGAGGAAGCTTTGGCTCAACTGCGTTTCATATCTAGAGCGAATGAGCCAGCGAGAGAGCTCTGCTTCTCCCCCAATGTCTCTCTCTTTCTTGCCGGGAACAGAATAGAACGAGAGATGGCTAGTCTAGCTTTGCTTGCAATAGCCCTGAGAATTGAGAAACCAGGCCGTCTTCCCCTATTTGGCGCCTATGTTTACTGAATATCCAAGACATAAATGCAAAAGATATTACCGTTTTTTCCTTTCTATTTCATTTCTAAGCAAAAGGAGAAGATGCATATATAAAAAAGAGAGTTTGGGGTATGAGCAGGAGCAACAGTTCCACGTTTGAAAAATCACTTTTATTATTATACACTAATGATGAAGGAAGATGACACACCACCACTCATGGTCACCGCTACCGAAGGAAGATGACACCACCACTCACAGCTGCCGCTAGATCCTCCACCTATTTGGTTCTAATCAACCAGCGGAATGACACCATCACTCACGGCCGCCGCCGCCAAAGGAAGGCAACACCACCACTCATGGCTGCTGCTGGATCTTCCACCGATTTAGTTCTAATCAACCAACGACCATGGAATCTCTCACCTCCACTTTCTCCTTCTACTACTCTTGTTGTCGGTTCCATGGCCATCATCACTATCGTTCTCATAAGAGCATTTTTATTCAGGGCTTTCTTCTCTATTTACGTACGCCAGTGTGTCGAAGACCACAATAGTGTTTTTCCGGTTATCTAGAAAATGAATTCGAGACAAGGGAGAGGTAACATTGGGTTTTAAAAAATTTAAAACAGCAAAGGTATACTTAGTCAATTAGCTAAACCATAAGGGGTAGTTTAAGAAATTTATCCTAAAATAAATAAATAAATAAATGTCTATTAAAATCTTTCTCTCAGTGTCAATTCTCTTTTATTTTATTGATTTAAAATAACTTATTTAATTTTATTAAATAAATAAATGCTTAGATAATAATAAAAATAAATAAATGAATAAATAACAATTAAGATAAAGAATAGGAGAAGAGAGAAGAGAGAAGAGAGAAGAGAGAAGAGAGAAGAGGGATGATATTTTATTTTGTAGGATGGTATAATAGTAAATAATTTTATATGGCATTGCTGTAATTTTCGAATATCATAGAGGCATAACTGTAAAGAGCAAGTATTTCCATAATTCTTGAATGCCTTAAAATCAATTAAATAAGAAGGTTTGCCTTAGTCTTGTAATTTTCAAATATTATAAAAACAATTAAAAATTGAAAAATTTATCTTACATGTAGTCATGCAAGGGGCAATTACAAGCCAATCATATAGATTTACATGTTTTTTTTTTTTTTTTTGATAAAATAGATTTACACGGTATAGCCTGCTTGAAAACTGTTGACATTTTACTTAAGACATTCAAAATTAATTGACTAATCTTGAAGCAAGAGTTCAATGGTGCGTAATTCTGATACCAGTATTATTGAATGGATATTAACAAAGAAAATTACTGAACTATTAAAAAGTAAAACTGTCGATTAATTAAGACAAGTAGTCAAGAGAGAATTTTATAAGGCTTTAGAAACGTCTAAAATTCACATAGTTTGGGTCTGGCATTGTCCAACTCCAACAGAATGGTAATGGATTACACAGTTCTAGGATCCAAGAAAAAAAAATTAACACCCACAATTACCACAAGAACACATGATTCTCTAATAGTTCTGGTGCTCAATCGGGTTTCCTCCTCTCACTCCCCTGTTTTCTAGCGCCAGGTGCGGTATCATGTCTCTCAACTGCGCCCGCTGCCTGCCTCTTCTAGTCTTCTTGCGCTTCAATCTCTCACACATGAAGGCCTTCTCAAGCTGCTGAACCATCTGCGTCAACGAGCTCATTAGACGGCTCTGCTCAGCGTTTCTCTCAAATAGCTCCGTCATCAACTCCATCAACCTGCCATTATCTTCAATCATCCTTTCCATCATTTTTCTGTTGCTAACATTCTCTTCCCTATTTTCCTTCTCGTCTACAGTCACACAACCTTCCGACTTCGTTTCATATTGCTGGATTTCCATGCCATTCACTTCCTTCTCTGTCCTTCCTTCTTTACCTTCTTTGATCAAGTTCTCGTGAGATTTCTCAGAAGATTCCTTCGGCTTCTCTGTTTCTGTGGTTTCTTCAGTTACATCTCCACCTGCTAAAGGTGTTGGGTAAATATCTTGTAGGGTTTCTACTGAACCAGAACCAGAAGTTTCTCTTTCAGCATCTTGGGTTTCAACTTGGGCATCACAATTCTCTTCCGGTCCAACTCGCAATGCTAAAGTTTGGATTGTATCTTCCGATTGTTGTTCACGGTCCACTGAATCAATCATATATGAATCCCCTATTTCTAGGGTTTGATCATTAGAATTGCACAAGATTCTGCTATCGTATAAAGAACTAGCAGGATGCTCGATTTCTAGGGCTTGAGAAACAGTGGCTTCACATCGGTCAGAAGAATCGGTTGATTCTCTGAGGTCAAGAAATCGATCACCATCGCCAGCAAAAGTTTCGGATGTACCTGAAGAAGAACCGACGCCGTCGTCCCCTCCTAGAATCTGACCATTGGAGCCAACACCATCCACCACAGTGGCAGCCTGATCACCGGCAACAATGGCATCCATCTTCTCCTGCAAGGCAATAGCCTTCTTGATAACCTTTTTCCGGCATTCCCTAACCCCAGAATCAACGCCTCGAACTGAATCCAACCGAAAAAGCAAAGACATTAGAGTCTCATTCACTCTCAACTGCTCTTTCGCATCCGTACGAATTAAATCCACCGTCTTCCTTCTCGAAATCCGCTGTTCAACTTCATCTACCTCTTTCTTAATCTCAATAATTTTTTTCACGTTCTTTCTAATCAAGAATCCTCGAAAACACTTCTGAATCTTCAAAGCAGCAGCCGGTCGTTTCTCCTCTGATACAAAACGAATCGGAATAGAAATGACGTTCGTAGACGGGGACTTCATGTGATGCGAGACGGGGATGATGCGGAGATTGGGCGAGCAGTAGCGAGGGTGAGTTGAGCTCCAGTAGTTCCTAAAGAAGGGGTTCTCCATTAATGATTGATTGATTGTTGAAAGAAATTGAATTGGGAAGTGAGATCCAAAGAAGAGATTTCCCGAGTGCTTTGAACGCTATCGGTTCGTTTATCGTTAATGGAATATCCATTCATCAGACCATCTATTTATAAGAAGCGTATGACATGAGAGGGAGGATTCTGCAAATTTCATTTGGGTTTGGGGGCCGAGAAATATCTAGAAGCATGTGGATGATTCGACTGGGAAGTGGGAATTATTAATTTTGATGTCGAACGTTCTAGAATTTTTAATTCGGTGATTCTTCATTCAAATTCAAAGGGAAATAAATGCCTTTTATGCCGTACGTAGTACGTGGAACTTTATGTTTATGATACGAGAATAGAATGAGATGCGATCAGATAGGCAGTTGGGGCCGAGAAACATCTAGAATCTGACGCTCGGGGGTTTTTAAGGAGATCTCATGATGGGGATATTTGGAACCGTGGCCGTTTTAAAAAAAGCGATGCCACGTTGAATTCACATAGGCATGTTCAATGCCCGTCTATATTATTGTTTGGTTCAGCCGATTATTAAAAAATTTGGCATGCTTTGAAAATCAGGACTTTGTTAATGTATGAAATGTCAAATTTAGTGTTTCATGCATCGTGAATTGTAAATGATTCGACTCTCATCTTAGATATAAAAAACTTAGAAGCACAACTAGATCAATTTAGCCTTTCTAAAACCCGAAATACCCTCCTTTAACACAACCCATAGGATAAATAAGAACCTTGATTAGACATCATCCACAGGCTTGGAAAAACTACAACTTAATTAATATCAATTTTCGTGACTAAGCTCCAAAGATTCATCGTTCATCATGCCAACTCCCTTGCAAACGGCCCTGATATATGCGATATTCAAACTCCAACTTCTCAAAATCAAATGCAACACACACATCACCTCAAGATCACTAGGAAGCAATCAACTAGTGAATCCCACCGCAAATCTACGATGATCAACCACGAAAACACCCTATTTTGATGTCCCTGAACGATTACCAAGATCAACCATATCTTTCTCAGATCATAACCATCCACTTGACTCATCCCCTTAATCCATGCATACCCACCAAATTGTAGCTCAAAATTCACCCGTTTGACCAATCATCAAGCTTAGATCCTATTTTAGCAAATCTCATTAATTAGAGCTTACCATTCGTCTTCCCAACTTCATATGACCAATCAGACCTTAACATTGTGTTTGGAGACCTAAGAAACCTTAGCATGTCAAATTTCATGACCAAACATCTCCATTTGACCGCTGAAAAGTAAGATTTCATTTCAAGCCTTCTCGTTAGTTGATAAACAATTAGCTAAAACCTAGACCTAAACCAAATTAGTCAATCTACACCTCTGATCAAAGATTCATCACTTTCATTAGATTCAGGACGTTCAAAAGTTCCAATCCACCAAATTTTATCCCCAAAATTCTCTTGTTTGACCCTTCATCAAACAAAGATTCTATTTCAACAAATCTCATTGATCCAAACTTCTTAGCTATATATCTCAATCATCCTAACCCTATTTGTCCAATCAGATCTCACCAGTGTTCAGAGACCCAAAAAACCCCAGCATGCCAAATTTCATGATTAGATTCATCCGTTTGACTGTTAAAATAGAAAGATGTTATTTCAATGCACCAGATTAAATTAACACGTCATATGTCTCGACCTAAAGCCTCAAAAGGGTGATGGCTGATGTCAGACCCATTAGAACACTTGGATTAAAGAAATTGAGTCTAATAGGCTTAAAAGGTTCAAAATACCAAGCAGACCCCACTTGATACCAAGAAAAGACAAAATAGCATTTAAAAGTTCAACAAATTTATGTTTTCTACCACTAACAACCCCAGATACGAGACTGCCATGACAGACACGCCTTAAGCTCCCATTGGATGCACAAAACCCGTGAAAACCACCCCCAAATTAAAGAAAATGTTTCACGAAATAGGTAAGCTTGACTGAGCATCTATTTCTTTGAAGAATTTTTGCCGATTTGTGTGAAAATCTTTATTGAGTCCTAGGCATTGTAGCTGAACGAATTCATACCTCACCCCCTCCCTTTCTTTATAAATACTGATTTAATTCGAGCTCAAAGGGGGGACTGGAGAGAAGAAGGGGAGGAGAGGAGAAGAGGGAGGAAACATGAGGGAATCCCCTAGAAAGAAAAGGAGAGAGAGAAGAGAGCTTTCTCCCAGCCCATATACTGCCCTCCTATTCAATTGAAATTCGGAGGTACTCTGAACCTCAGATTTTAAACTCGTCTCCTCCATTTTCAAGCGGAAGTTATTGCAGCTAGAAACACTCCATAACTCAAGAACCCATTTAAACTTCATTTTATCTCATCTCTAGCTGTTGGAAAACCTTTAATAAGGTACATACGAAAGATAAGCCTTTTTTAGTTTTTCTAGTTTGCTCGAGGTTCTGAAATGTTGGAGAACCATCATTTTCAATTTCTTCTTGACTGAGAATAGAAGTAGAGAGGTGAGGGTCTTAATAAAATCAATACCTAAGACCCAATAACATTATCTCAAATTCATTTATAGGAGAAGTTGAAAGCATGTTCTTCCAGATTTAGGAAATTCCTACAACCATTTCTGTTTTTCTCCAAAAGAAATTGAAGCTGAACAACTCTCGTATTGGATTGCTAAAGCAGCTTGGAGAGAGGGGTGCCTAATACTTTCCCTCTCCCAATCCTTGGGACCTGAAATCTCTTGGTCGTGTGCCTTTTCCATGAAAAACGAAATCACTATCAAAGACTTAAATTGAGTTTTTCAAATGTAAAAATGAGGGCCCATTTCCTCTAAAAAAAGGGTAGCGACTCCATCTCTTTGACCTGGCCATGAGCTTTTTGGAACTCACACTCAAGGGAGGTTTTTATATTTTACCTTAGAAATTCTAACTTGATACTTCTTCATTTAAAGGGAAATGCTTTTATGCTAGTATGAGAATGTGATATCTGACTAGATAGCTCCCTTTATTGGTATGCATTCCTATCCCATTACCAAAAAAATTGATTTACATTCTTATTATGGCACTAGGTCTAGAAGTTTGTCATTGAGGTTTCTCACTTGTCAATTTTCACGATATGACCAAAAGCATTTTTTGTTTTTGTTATTTTATAAGTCAGAGAGGCTTTAGTCAAGTGGTGGTGATTTGGCTCTGAAAGTTTGGAGGGGAATGATGGTTGGAGAAGTTAGTGATTGCTAAGAAAGTGTGAAAGGGAGGGAGGGAAAGGAGTGAGAGAAAATTCGGGTTTTCCCTCCCTATAATGGGTTTATTGGTGATGATGGCAGATTTGGCCCTCCATCGACATCATGACACGTTGTCATGAGTGACTCTTTCACCGCGCCATCAAGCACCTACCATGAGCCATCAGAGTGCCAACCGCATGCCTTCAAGGTGTCAGCATGTGTGTCATGGGTGGGCTACTCATGTATTTTGTAAGGGGGGGCCGCCAATGGCGTTATTGTAAATACATAGTATGATTTTTCATCATTTTTATTTTTCCTATTGTCACTCCCCCAAAAGCTTAATGTACTCTTTGAGGGGAGGTAGGTAGTTGAGTGAGTTCATAAGCGTGTAAAGGTTAAGCACGAGATCCCCTCGACACTGTACTGTGTGCTTGTGCTTACCACTTATTAATGCAATACAAGTTACCTTTTATCTAATCTGTGTGCATTCTTGTTGCCTTTTGTGTATTGTTGCTTGCATTCGTAGGCTTTCTTGACCCCATCGAGCGCTGCACGGGGCCTCATCGATTAACCTCGTGACAATTGGTATCAGAGAAGGTTGTTCCTCAACGCTCGTGACCCTTGCACAACAACACTAGTGGTGGCGCAATGAAGCACAACAAGGAACTCACCGACGAGATTAGGCATGGCCTTGCCCATGCGAGAGAGACCGATGAGGCTCTAGGCGATGAAGCCTCTACAGAGAAGGTCCCGAGGGGTCGCACATCCAAGACAAGCAAGCTTGACAAGTCAGTTGACGCGCTTGCTGCCTTCGACACACGCATCCTTCGCTGTGAAGTGACTGTTGGGGAGATGCGTGGCCGAGTATAGGAAATCCACCTGAATGTGGAAACAATTGAGAGCTTCGTGGTGGAGCTAGAAGCCCGCTTAAATGGCATTATGAACGAGGTCCAAGACGTCTTGAATAGAACCCTCAAGGAAGTGCTTGGAACAAAATCCCGACAAGAAGGGAGCTCATCTCGATCCGACATCCAAGACCAAGTGGATGAGATGAAAACTGAATGGATGGCCATGAACGTAGCCATGGCCTCTCCTTTTGACCTCTAGACTCAAATGGATGAACTAAGAGGAGACATGACGCTCCTCAAGAGACTAGTGGCCAGCACTCCAAGCCCCTCCACAACACTGGCCCCTACTCGTGTGAAGATTCGGGAGCCCACACCTTATGCCGGCTCCCGAGATGCGAGAGAACTTGACAACTTTTTGTGGCAAATGGAACAATATTTCCTTGCCGCTGGCATTGACGAGGACCTAATGCAAATTCGTACGGTTATAATGTATTTGACTGACATTGCTATGCTATGGTGGCGCAGGCGATGCCAAGACATTGAACGGGGTACGTGCACCATTAAGACATGGGCTGATTTCAAGCGAGAACTAAAGCGGCAATTCTACCCAGAGAACGTGGAGTACYTRGCRCGGAAGAAGTTGAAAGCASTCAAGCATGGGGACTCACTCCACGATTATGTTAAAGAGTTTTCAGCCCTTACCTTGGAGATCACGGACATGTCCGACAAGGATCTACTATTCAACTTCATGAATGGACTGAAGCCATGGGCCGAACTAGAACTCCAATGCCACAACATACAGGACCTCACCTCGGCAATGGCAATGGCAGAGCAACTCAATGAGACTAGCTTGTCAAATGAAGAAGCCCCTACGCCAGAAAGCCCGCGTTCCCCTAATTTGAGTGGGGGAGCAAGTCGCCCATGCCTTCCGTACGA